TCCTGACTGTGGGCAAGGCAGGAAAACTCTAGCTACACTAATCTTTAATTTTTCTTTGTATTTTCCATGAGTATTCATATGAAGATGCAAATTGTGTATGGTGGGCAATGTTCATAAGTGGGCAAGAGGACAACATTGGGTGTCATTTATCTGGTGTCATCCTGAGATATGATTTAAGAATAAAGATCAAAGTGTATGATACCTGGAGTGAATACTACCCACATCCAAAGCATCCTTCTCTTTTTTATACCTCTGAACAAACTCATCAAGCTTGGTTAGAAGCCAAACTTAATAAAATACAGACATACTAAATACTAGATGCTTTCATAATCAAATATTGCAGAGTCTTGGAAATAGGGTCAAATTACTTGAAAAGAGTAATTCTAAAAGATAAACTAATTGTGAGGATTTATTTGTTTATTTGTTTATTTTGATATTTTGTTTGCTTTCATTTTTACTACAAAGCCTAGGCTTGCTCTTAACTCATAGTCCTTGTCCTGTTTGGCTTTTCCTCAACATGACATAAGCTAGCATTACTAGGGAAGAGGAACTTCTATTATGGGTGTTTTCTTGCTTAATGATTTATGAGGTAGGGCCCAGCCCACTGTGGAGCTGTACTACTCTTGGGAAGGGAATTACAAATTCCAACACTAAATCATTTTTATTTAAAATTCAATTTCTAGGCTCCATATACTAACTTGTATGAGTCAGAGTAACTCAGATGGTGTTGAGTAAGGTAGAGTAAACTCTTCTTGCGCTCCATACAAGTAGCCAAATTTAGTTACCATTACTCCACATTTGTTGAGTTTTTGTTTTAAAACCCCCTATATTATGCTCCCCCTCAACTGTGTGAATGGCACAAGGGATATGAACAAAAGCCCTCAGTCTCCCCAGACTCTGCTATATAGCTTTCATTTGGCTGAACCACTTTCAAGTCCAAGTCTTACAAGAAGCAGTAAACCTAGCTCTTCTTATCTAACACTAACTTTTTACAATTGATAGAAGTATATGACTTATAACCTCAGCACTCTCAACCTGGGAGAAGAGCTGCCATGAATCAGTGGCCTCACTGGGCTAGATAATAAAACAACAAAACAATTCCATTCAGGATTGTAAGGGCAGGCCTAAGACTTTCAAGTCCTTTGCAGCAAGAAAAAAAATCACATTTGAGGTACCATTTTTTATTCCAACTTTCTTCTATGTTGCTGTGATTAAATTATCTTACCAAAAGGTGATGAACAGATTTCTTTGATGGATACCCTTGGTCACACTCCATCCTTGTGGAGCATAGGATAAAATCTCAAGCTAACAAAAGAAGACAGGACACGAGGAAACATTGCTACCTAGCTTTTTCTCTTGCTTTGCCACTGTCTTTCTTGTGCTAAACTAGCTCTCTTGTCCAGTCCAGGCCCACTTGGTTAGAGATATTGACAACTCAGCAGAAGAGTTTCAAACATCAATCATAATCAACACAATCTATCTCAGAGATAGTAATCAGATATTCTAGGCATACCCTAACTTGACGTTCCCTCAGATGACTCTAGGCTGTGTCATGTTGACAGTTCATGCCAATTAGGAAAAAAGAGACAATATATATGAGAAGGTTTTCAAGATGTAAAGCCAATATATGAATGATATCCAGTCACTTAAGCAGCAAAAGCACAAATATGTGACCCTTGAATACAGTTCCTCATGATTAGCTGACCCCCAACTATAAAACTATTTTCACTGCTAGTACATGACCATATTTTTGATACTGTTAGGAATTATAATATAATTAACTGTCTGTGCTTTCTGATGGTCTTAGGCAAGTCCTGTGATAGGGTCATTTGATCTCCCAAAGGGAGCCATGATCTCGAGTGTTGAGAACCACTGTTCTAAACTGATATAAACAAATACATTTTACAAAAGGAGCATTAAGGAAAAAATGGAATGAAATTCTGAAACTGAGAAACATTCATAAATAGAAAAAAATTACAGTACTGCATTTAAAGAAAATAAATTTTTATAATGATACCAATAATTCATATTTTATAATGATAAAAATCATTGGAACGGCAATTAGGTATACTGATGATGAAAGGAAGTAGGTAATACCCTGGTAGAGAGAATACCATTAAGAAGAGACTGTATGACTTTGTCCCATGTAAAGTATTAGCCACTGAGTGTTGCAAGCTAACACATGGAATTACAGCCAATGGCCTGTGTCTCAAACCTCTGAGTGAACTATGTCAGCCAGGACTGCACATATCTACATAGGAGAGTTCTCTAATTGGAAACTGAATACTTGGTAGTTCAAGCTATCTTCCCAAAACTGTATGCCCACCAATTCAGTCTGTCTTCATTCACATGGAAGAAATAATACATGCAGGAAGATTACACAGAAAGTCACTCACCTGCCCCATCAGTCCTTCTTTGTAATGGAGACCCCTGCAGCTAGCTCACTGCCTTCAACTTCAGGCTGTGACCAACCTATTGTCTAGTTTGTTTCCCCCTGCAGTGTACAGAGCACACTGTTCCTCTTCTTCTGGTCTCAAGGGAGAAGCCATGCCCCATACACAAATCCTTTCCCTGTTCTGAAATGGACAGTCCACTATGTGACTCAATCTGGCAACTTTAGTACTCTGTGGTGCTGTAGATGTAAAATGCAAGATTTAGGGTGGTTAGTCAGGATGACAACAACAGCAATGTCCTGTGGGGCTACAGACAGGGTTCAAGTCCACCTCAATCAACATGAAATACTTCAACTCAAAACTGCTTTCCAAAAAGCCTGGAGAGGCCCCTGTTCTAGAATTAATATACCTTTATGGCACACCAGGACTTAATGTTGGTTGTGACCATGCAATGGTCACTATAGCAGCATTTAGAAGCTGTTTTTTTAATGTGTGGATGGGCCTTTCTGCTGGTTGGAAATCAGGGTTGTCTCCTTTGTTATGTGAATGTAACTGGTTAATCCTGGGGAACACACAATTACACTTTATCATACTAATTTCTAACCAACATGGTTAGCATACTACTTATCTTTGTGGTATTTGTGATGCAGCCATCCTTTACCTAAATTCTACTTTGAATTAATGTCTCCTAAGAACTAGTAAGAATTTGTACCATCAAGTTCCACTTTACACATGAGATACTGTTTACAAGCTCCACAGAATTAACCCTAGATGCATTTGAGCCTTAAATGTGAAGAGTTCACATCGCAGTACTTTTGGAAGATAGGAGAGGGACCAGGGCTCTCTGAGTTTGGCAAATTTGTGTTTTATAGCAATAACATAAGCACTAAGGCTGCCTCCATTTCACAGTGATGTCAACAACAAGGTTATTTCAAAGCACAGTCCCACTCCCAATGCTCTGCACAGATGCAGACTGCAGAGTGAACTTACACAGAGTCTGCCAGCAGGCCCAGGAATTGCAAAGGACATGCAGGACAGGCAAGAGCCTGCCGAACTCTCCGTCCAGCCACTGATCCCACCCAGCCAGGGGAGGACCCATCACACTGCCTCCTATGACTCAACTGGCCACTCCTCCCAGTCTGGGGATAGGCCCCTCGCTCACCATAGCGTGGTTTTCCAGCTGCCCTATGCTCTCTGCTCAGCTCCCTGCAGCAGCACTCACAGCACAGCACACAAAACCACTGGCGCCAGCTTCTTTTCAAAGCCAAGCCTGAAGCTGGTGACCGGAAGGACCCTGCACAAATTCTGACTGGCAGGTCGCCTGGAGGGCCTGATTGGCTAGTGAGGCCTGAGTGACAAGAGCATCTCCCATAGGGTTACACTGTGCTTAAAGATACAGCACAATGATTCCTGACCCTGCCTTCCACCCCAGACCCAGACCTTTTCTGAACCAGCAGAGAGATGCATTTCAATAGCACCTGCCCCTGGCTCTAACAGCAGACCCTGCTCTCTTCCTGCCCTTCATAGGCCCTTCCCCTTCATCCTCCTGGACACAATGTGGGTAGCTAGCTTGTACACCCCACAATAATATGAGGAGTGGAGTGATTCCCTGTCACACAGGAATATTAACAACTAAAGAGAGATTTTAAGCACACAATAGGAGATGTTTGTTAGGTGGCTTCCCACTGAGTTCAGGTGAATTGAATGAAAGCCTGATAATGACTCCATTGCTTAAGGAGTTTTTATTAGTGAAGTTCAGAGCAAAGTGTTGGCAAATTGAATAATAATAAAGAGTAGTCTTCATGGCAGGTTGAATACATAGAGAATAATGGAGCAAGGAAGAATGCATTTATGAGAACCATTGTCAGCCAGCACATCTTCCTCAGTGGGCAAGCGAAAAAAAACACAATTGCATTATTCAAGCTTCTCTACATGGATAGGACTGGTAGAATGAATCTCTCCATGTATGTACAAAGTTGATTTTTAGACTGTCTTACAAGCTGTAGTCCAGGTAGTCCAACAATGGTTGCCTACCAATGGAAATTTGAAGAGTCCAGTAGTTGTTCAGTTCATGAGGCTAGATATTTCAGTTGCTCTTCAGTATACACCAAAATACCAAGGAAGTAGGCTCTAATGCTGGCAAAGGAATGAACTTGGTCACCAGTGCTAGGGCAAGAATGCAAAGAGAGAGAGTGTCCCATCCAGCAGGCCAGGTTATTAGGTAAGACTCGAGAAAGCACCTCCGAAAAAAACCAATGGGGGCGAGAGAGAAAGGAGACCAAGTGCGTGAAAAAGACAGAGTCAGTCTGAGATACGTCCAGGTCTCGTTTATTGCAAGGGAAGGCAGGCTTATATATACTGGGGACAGGAGAAGTGAATAGGGGAAGGGAGGTGATGGAAAATTCCTGAAGAATAGGATCAGGGTGAGGTCTTCTTTGGTCCAAGCTTGTGCAACCGACATGTTTCAGGAAGTTATTCTAAAAGTACATTTTGTGGTGGTTTTTTTTTTTTTTTTTTTTTTTTGGTTTTTTTGAGACAGGGTTTCTCTGTGTAGCTTTGCGCCTTTCCTGGATCGCGCTCTGTAGACCAAGCCTGCCTCGAACTCACAAAGATCCGCCTGGCTCTGCCTCCCGAGTGCTGGGATTAAAGGCGTGCGCCACCACCGCCCGGCTCATTTTGTGGTTTTTTTGGGAACGAGTGTTTTTGTAAGTTAGTGACATTTATCAAGGGTGTAGTCATGCCAGATCATCCAGGCAAGAAAGATCAAGGCGCAGTTCTCCATATTTTGGTTCCCAACAAGAGAGAGAGAACTTCCTCCTTCAATATACTTTACATATGTAAGCTACAAAAGGAGCTGCAATCCAAATTAAATGTAGATCTTAAACTTTCTTTGATTTTTTTTTCTACTGAGTTCATTCCTCATGAACCACACAACTACTGGACTCCTCAAGTTTCCCTTGGTAGGCAGACATTGTTGGACTACTGTGAAGGCCTAGACTTAACTTTACAGGCTCAGGAATATGCGATGATAACACACAGAGCAGTATCCTCCTGCAGACATTCTGTCTGCTGTTTAAAGGAAAGATTAAGAGGATCCAGATACTCCTGCAGCCAACCTGTCTGCTGTTTATATAGAAAAGGAAAGCTTAACAGGAACCTGTCTGTGGATTATGGCCCTTGGAGATTTCTAGATAATCCTCCTGAGCAGTCCAGATAATCCTGTCCAGCGGGTTGTGGTCCCCGCCCCCCCCCCCCCCCCCTCCGATTCCCCCCCCCCCCCCGAAAAAAAAAGTCTAGACAAATAGTTTCAAAAAATCACCTTGCCCCTTCTACCCAATCCCAAGCTGCCAATTCCGGGCCTGTGGTTTTTCACTATAAAAACCCTGTACACCTGGCTCTAGGCTGTCACCATATTTCCTTCCATCTGCCATGCAGCGGTGAAGGTTGAACCTGAATAAAAGAATCCTTATGTGCTTGCATCAGAAACTGGCTCCTTGGTGTTGTCTGGACGTTTCTTGAAATAGGTACAACACTGCCTGGACCACAGCTTGTAACACATTCTATTAAATCAACTTTGTACATACATGGAGAGATTCATTCTACCAGCCTTGTTCATGTAGAGAAGCCTGAATAATAAAGTTGTGTTTTGTTTTTGTTTGTTTGTTTCTTTTTGTTTTTGTTTTTGTTTTACTTGCTCACTGAGGAAGAGGTGCTGGCTAAATTGGTGCTCATAAATGCATTCTTCCTAGCTCCATTATTCCCCAAGTTTTCAATTTTCCATGAAGACTACTCATTATTATTATTCAATTTGCCAACACTTTGCTCTGAACTTCACTAATAAAAACTCCTAATCAATGGACCCATCATCCACCTTTCTGGGGGGAGAAAGACCTATTATCTTGTTTGTGATCTAGTTCCTGCGTTTCTTACCTCATGGTCTGAAGTCCCTGGGACTAGTAGGTTAAAAGTACATTCAATTCACCTGACCTTGGTGTGAAACCACCTAACAAACATCTCTTTTTGTATGCTTAAAATATCTCTTTAGTTGTTAATATTCTGGGTGTTGTGCCCAGATTGTAACCCCCAGAAAGACCACCAAGGACGAGCATACCAGAATGCAAAAGCAAGGTTTATCTGTTACAAGTCATGACAGGGAACGCATCTCAAGCCATCTCAAGTGAGGCAGGGAAGAGTTGCTCTTTCTTGGGGAAGTTAGTTTTTATAGGCAAAACCCATAACATTTCTTAGAGGGGAGGGGGTTAGTACGGGTCCATCCTTGATTGGTCCAGTTTTTCCCGGGCCTGGACTTTGTCTTATTTTAGCTTATCTGTTTGCCCTGTCAGGAGTTTTACAACTCCTCTCCAGAGTCTGGTCATGTTATCTCTGGAGAGGGGCATCTCGTGGTTAATCTGTTACCATCAGACATCCTGACTTTGTCTTTTGAAAATACCTGACTTCAACCTCTCCAGGGAGGGGGAACTGACTTATTTTTAAGATATCTCTTTCCTCGGCTCTTTTGGGTTTCTGGGGAAACTGTGTCTGGGTCCTTTAACTCCAGTGCTGAGATTAAAGGCGTGTGCCACCATATTCCCAACTCATTTGGTTTTGAGATAGGATCTTTATAGCCCAAACAGGCCTGTATTATGCCCAGATCGTGTCCCCAAAGCTGCCACTAAGAGACTTTAGGTACAGAAAGCAAAAGCAAGGTGCATTCCAAGTTTACAAGCCTTGGCAAGGAGGCTCAGCAGGGAGGCTCCTTCCAAATCTCTCCTGCAGCAAGGAGGTTGGAAGGAGCACTCCCCTTTCTTTGTGAGGCTAGTTCTTAAAAGCACAGACCATATAATTCATTTCAACCCACCTCGCTTTTTTTTTGTCTTTTGGTCGAATACCCTGACTCTGTGTTTTTCAAAGTCCCTATAGCAGATACAGCCACCTGGAGAAGGGGGTCTAAGTTCTTATCTACACTTAGGAATCCTGGTTTAAGCTTCTCTTTGTCTGTAGGGAATAGAGTGGGGGGTATCACATGGGTATCCATCCACCTGTGTGGCAGGGAATCACTTCACTCCACATGTTATTGTGGGGTGTACAAGCTAGCTACCCACATTGTGTCCAGGAGGATGAAGGGGAAGGGCCTATGGAGGGCAGGAAGAGAGCAGGATTTGTTATTAGAACCAGGGGCAGGTGCTATTGAAATGCATCTCTCTGCTGGTTCAGAAAAGGTCTGGGTCTGGGGTGGAAGGCAGGGTCAGGAATTATTGTGCTGTATCTTTAAGCACAGTGTAACCCTATGGGAGATGCTCTTGTCACTCAGGCCTCACTAGCCAATCAGGCCCTCCAGGCGACCTGCCAGTCAGAATTTGTGCAGGGTCCTTCCGGTCACCAGCTTCAGGCTTGGCTTTGAAAAGAAGCTGGCGCCAGTGGTTTTGTGTGCTGTGCTGTGAGTGCTGCTGCAGGGAGCTGAGCAGAGAGCATGGGCCAGCTGGAAAACCACACTATGGTGAGCTAGGGGCCTATCCGCAGATTGGGAGGAGCAACCAGTTGAGTCATGGGAGCCAGTGTGGTGTGTTCTCTCCTGGCTGGGTTGAAGCCAGTGGCCAGACGCAGAGTTTGGCATGTTTTTGACTGCTCCTGCTTGGTCCATTGTGGTCCTGCTGGTCCAGCATGATCCATTGTAGTTCTGTGTGGTCTTTGCCATTCCTGGGACATCTGGCAGCCTCTGTACTTCACACCGCAGGCTGCAGCTGTACAGAGCATTGGGAATGGGACTGTGCTTTGAAATAACCTTGTTGTTGACATCACTGTGAGATGCCGCTGCCCTTAGGGCTTATGTTGCTCCTATGGAACAAAGATTTGCGAAATTCAGAGAGCCATGGTCCCATAATTTCCATATCTTCCAGAAGTACTGCAGTTTAAATGTTTCACATTAGTTTTAGGATCTATCTTCAATTAATTTTGTGTAGCTTGTAGTCAGCATCTCCTGTGTGAAGTAGCACTCTACTGCTAAACTGTGATGTAGAAAAGTAGAATTGATGGTATAGAAATGATGGTACAAGGTCTTACCAGTTGTTAGGAGACGTTAATTCACAAAATACAATATAGATAAGGGAGGTCTGCATCACAAATAACCCCAAAATATACTAACCCTACTGGCCAGAAATTAGCATAAGATGTAATTGTTCCCCAGGATTAACCAGTTACATTCCCATAACTAGGAGACAATCCTGATTTAAAACCAGCAGAAAGGCCCATCCATGATGAAAAAAAAACAGCCTCTAAATGCTGCTCAAGGGACCATTATAGGGTCCCAACAAACGTTAAGTCCTCGTGTGCCATAAAGGTATATTAATTCTAGAACAGGGGCCTCTCCAGGCTTTTTAGAAAGCAGTTTTGAGCCAAGATCTTCCATGTTGATTTAGGTGGACATGAACCCTGTCTGTAGCCCCACAGGACATTGCCATTGTTGTCATCCTGACTAACCACCCTAAATCTTGTATTTTACATCTACAGCACCACAGAGTTCTAAAGTTGCCAGTTTGAGTCACATAGTGGACTGTCCATTTCAGAACAGGGAAAGGATTTGTGTATGGGGCATGGCTTCTCCCTTGAGACCAGAAGAAGAGGAACAGTGTGCTCTGTACACTGCAGGGGGAAACAGACTAGACAATAGGTTGGTCACAGCCTGAAGTTGAAGGCAGTGAGCTAGCTGCAGGGGTCTCCATTACAAAGAAGGACTGATGGGGCAGGTGAGTGACTTT